GGAGGGTTTTAGTTCCACGCGCTGGGCATTTAAATTCTGGTGTGGACTGTGGGAGGGGCCATGTGCGCACACATATAATCAGTGCTTTTTTGCATGGGGCCTTGAAGGTGAACTCCAGATTCCACCCCCTCCTCCTTGATTGGCAAGTCTGTTGGCTCTTTGGACCTGTAGAGTTGGCGTATGATCCAGACTGGACACCAGAGCCGCGACCACGGGAGAGCCCAACTGGTCTCGAGTGGATTCTGACCCCACTGAGATCCAGGGGTCATGCTGTGTTCAGATCGCCCTAGGAAATGTTACTGGGTGTACTGGAAAGAACATCCTTAAAACCGAGCACAGTTACTGCGGTGGCTGGCTGGATAATTGCAACGCTCTGTCCCACAGCCACATCTGGGTCCTCCACCGCCTGCCATGGCTCCCTCCCTCTCACTCACCCTCAGTCTGGGCAAAGGGCGAGGTCTCCTTCAAAACGTCCAGGAAATCGGTGAAGACCAGGTTCCCGTTTGCTGCAAGAGAGGGGCGTGGGTCAGAGGGGGAGGGGCTGAGAAAGCCGGCAGGACGCTGGGCGGGGCCGCTCACCATCAATGTCAATGGCCTTGAGCACTTGCCGCATCTCCGTGCTGGTCACGAGGATCCCCAGCGCGTGCAGGGTCAGGAGCAGGTCGTTGACGTGGATCCTCCCGTTGCGGAGGGCGCTGAAGACCATGCAAGCTTTCGGCAACCCTAGAGCAGGCAAGCCGGGGGACAGCTGGTCAGGCCCCGTGCCACATGCCCATGGCAAGGGGCACCCCACTGCTCTGGGCCGGAACGCATGCTCTGGTGCTAGCCCTGGGGACTGAGACTCTGCCCCCAGCAGCCCTGGTCGGTGACGGGAAAGGCCGGCTTTGGACCTGCACAAGGCTGGCTCTAGGAACCCATGTGCCAGACCCCGGAGGCTACAAGCAGGGATACTTAATGCAACAGTGCAAAGCTTATACCTGGCACTTCCCTAGGGCTGGCGTTTGCTCGGTCCAGCTGCAAGCACTTTACAAAGGGCCGTTAGTCCCATTTGACGGATGAGGAAACCGAGGCACGGAGCAGGGCTGTGACTTGTTCACGTCACCCAGCAGAGCTGGGAATAGAACCCAGGCCTCCATCTGCGAGGCCAAATGCCTCCCTACCTAGAGTGACCCACCCCTTCCCATAACCATGGGCTGTGTCTAGACTGGCATGATTTTCCGGAAATGCTTTTTCCGTTAAAAGCATTTTCGGAACAGAGCATCTAGCTTGGCATGGACGCTTTTCCGCAAAAGCACTTTTTGTGGAAAAGCGTCCGTGCCAATCTAGATGCGCTTTTCCGCAAAAAAGCCCTGATCGCCATTTTTGCAATCGGGGCTTTTTTGTGGAAAACAAATCTGAACTTTCTACGCAGGACTTTTGCCTGAATGGGAGCAGCATAGTATTTCTGCTAGAAGCACTGATTTCAGACAGTAGGAAGTCAGTGCTTTTGCGGAAATTCAAGCGGCCAGTGTAGACAGCTGGCAAGTTTTTCCGGAAAAGCAGCTGATTTTCTGGAAAAACTGGCCAGTCTAGACACAGCCATGGGGTTTTCTAAGAACATTTGCTCTTCCCAAATTGCCCCGCCCCTTAGGAACTCGCACATGACCCAGATCATCTTCCGGAGCAGGCCTGAGTGCGCGGACTGCCTGCGAGCAGGGGACCTAGAGCTCTTATTGTGCCAAACGGTGAACTTCCCCTCCTTCCCTCTCCTCCCCTGCCCATTTCATTTTGCAACAAAAACCTGAAACACCCTTCCACTCCGCCGAGCACGTTCGTGTGTGGGAGGACCCGGGAAACCAATTCCTGACCAGCTGCACTTGGCCTCTGCGTTTCGGGGGCGTGCGCGGGGGAATCTGGGTTACCTTCAACTCTCTGCACAGCCCAAGGCTCGTGCTCCCCGACCTCCTCGTACAGATGCATGTAGAGGTTGTTCAAGGCTTTACTCATCCTGTTGAGGAATCAGATGCACACAGAGTCCTGGTGCCAAACGGTCCTGGTGACTCAATGCTCAGCCCCCCCTGGTCGCCATGACCCACACAGCCTGGAGGGGACAAAGGCAGGCGAGCCCCGGGCGCTGATGCGGAGCACCCGCAGGGAGCAGTGAAAGCCGGAGTGTGTGCTCCCCCCACCAGACTACTGCCAAAGGGACTGAGTGGGAAGGAGGCGGACCCAATCCTTGGCCTCCCTGCTGGGCCAGGAGCAGGGCTGGGGAACCACCAATCTCTGCCTGGAGGGAGAATCCCCGACGGCGAGTTCCATTCTGCGCCGCATTGCAGGGGGCAGGGCCAAGCCCCACAGCACAGAGGCCAGCAGACGGCTGTGGCAGCGCTCCGTCTCTGCCTCTTTCTCTTGCCTTTTGCTTCCCTGGCCGCCACCCTCCCCCCCCTTGCAGCCCAGGCACTGGCCCTGAAGGCCAGCCAGAGAGCGAGCGCGCCAGCATCTCCTGCTCCGGGAGGGAGAGCGGACAGCCGCCGTTCGGTACCTGGGCGCCCGGGAGAAGCTCTGCTTGGGATAGCTGGGCGCGTGGGCCGTGCTCCTCCTCGGCCGAGTCCGGCCGTACCCCTTGTCCACGCTCTTCTCCCTCCTCCGGCTCGCTGCCCGCCGCTTCAGCATTGCCTCGAAGGAGGGCGTGATCTAGGTACAAAGCCACTCAGGGCAGGTCCGTCCCCAGCGGGCTGCAAAGAGCTACAGCCTAGGGTGGGGCAAGGCTTGGGGGAAGGGAGGTGCATGGGAGGTCCAGGGCGGAGGGGGATCAGGCCCCCCCGGCTAAAGCAGAAGTCAGTGCCTATGGGGCCAGCCACTGCCAGGGGGTGTTACAGCACCGCAGTGGCCTCTGCATGAGCCAGCAGCTGGAGCAGGGCCCGTTAGAACACAAGAGCAGCCAGACTGGGTCGGACCAAAGGACCGTCTCGCCCAGTGTCCTGTCTGCCCACAGTGGCCACTGCCAGGTGCCCCAGGGGGCGTGAACAGAACAGGGAATCATCCAGTGATCCCTCCCTGTCACTCGGTCCCAGCTTCTGGCAACAGAGGCCAGGGACACAACCCCATCCATGGACTCCATGGATGTATCTCATTCTTTGTTGAACCGTTCTAGTCTTGGCCTTCACAACATCCTCTGGCAAGGAGTTCCCCAGGTTGACTGTGAACTGTGGAAAGACATAATTCCTTCTCCTTGTTTTACACGTGTGGCCCTTGTTTACTTTCTCCGCACTAGTCATGATTTTAGACCTCTTCTATCCCCTGAGCTTTCTCTTTTTCCGAGGTGACAAGTCCCAGTCTTATTAAGGTCTCCCCAGAGGAAAGCTGTTCCAGACCCCTAATCATTTTTGGTGCCCTTTTCTGAACCCTTTCCAATTGCGAGATGACTTTTTTGCGACGGGGCGCCCACACCCGTGTGCAGGACTCGGGTGGCAAAGTGGCAGAGGAGTGAAATTCAGTGCCGATAGCTGCAAAGAGGTGCCCGTTGGAGCACATCACCCAACTGTAGGTCCAAACTGGTGGGGTCTAAGGTAGCTGTTACCACTCAAGAGCGCTCTTGGAGCCACCGGGGAGAGTCCTCTGAGCGCGTCCAAGCCCTGGGCAACGGCGGTCAAAAAAGCGACCAGAACGTGGGGAATCATGAAGAAAGGGACAGAGAATATCCTGTTGCCTTCATAAAAATCCGTGGCATGCCCACATCTCGAGTCCTGCGCCCGGGTGTGGGCGCCCCACCGCAAAAAAGGCAGGGAGGGTTCAGGACGAGGGAAGAGGGGCCCTTGGCAGCACCAACTGAGAGGGGCAAGTGGGAAAAGCCCTTGAGAATAGTGTTCCCTGTAAGCTGAGCACTTGGGCGGCTCACCCGGGAAGGATTCAAAAGCCCCCCAGCTGATTAACCGAGCACCCACAACCCGAGCATGTGTTTCTACTGGTGGTGCACATCTGCACATACCTGGGTGCACATAAACATTTATTCCGCACAGGGATGAAAAAAATTAGAAGGCGCAGTGCCTGAGAACCATGTGTTTGGAGAACAAAGCTGGAAATAGATTCTGGGTGCAGCAGGGAGCCTTCACATATGTGCCCGCAAGAGCGCATGAGTCTAAGGTTGCCAGATGGTTTAACAAAATATACCAGGCACCCCCCCCCCCCCCAAAAAAACACTGGGAAAAAATTTTGTTGAGAAAAAAAAAGGGGGACACCAAAGTTGTTAAACAAAAACAACAAAAGGTCACTGTGCCTTTAAATAGCCCCGCACTCCTCACTCCTCCGCCCCCAACAGATGTGGCAGAGGAAAATTGTTCCAGCTGAGTTTCCGTCCGAGGGAAACAGGAAATCTGGGCGAAAACTGGACACCTGGCAACCCGACGTGCGTCACCGTGTAAACGTGTGCTCACACGCGTGTCGGTCTCACCTCAGTTGCTTTATCAGCCTTTGGGACGTGCTGCCTGCGTTTCACAAGCCTCGGCGACGCCTGCGCAGAATACGGCCTGAATTGCAGAGACACACCCAGGGATTAGGGTCTGGGCGCTATTTTCTGCTTCTGCTTTTAGAGACTGGCAGCTTTTTATCAGAGATGGGACCAAGCAAGGATGCTGGATCTGGCCTTGTTGAACCTGGGGCCTGGCCGAGCGCAAGACCCTGACATGGGACTGTCCATGTAACAGGCTGAGCCCCAATCTGACTCCAGAGGCCTGAGCGGTTGGGGAACTTCACCCGGGATCCCGCTCTGGCCAGAACATCCCAGCCTGGGCTCAGCGGGAGCTTCGCCTGCACCCCCAAACGTGCTTTCCTGCAGATGCATCTTTGCACAGGAAGCCGGGGCCCGTCGCACAGGGCACAGCCCGAGCCCCCTCTCTCGCTCTGGGCAAAGAGCTAAGCGGGGGCTCAGTCAGGCCCAGGGCAACGGGGGAGGATGGCCCATGGTTCGCTCGCCTGAGCGGCCCAGCCATGCTGCGGTGCAGAGCGGAAGGGCTGGTGATGAGGGAGGAGGCCGGACTGACCGAACATCGCCAGATGCCCCCTGGGGGGGTCGCAGGTGGCAATGGGGAACTCCAGCCATGGCTGCAGTGGGAGGGGCCGGTGCATTCAGGTTGGGGGGCCCCTGGTCCCTCCCCACAGATGGCCAGGGGGCTGTGCGTACGGCGTGTCAGCTCGCGGCACGTCCCCGGCTGAGCCCCAGGGAGAAGGGCCGTCGCAGCTCCAGCGAGCCCGCAGCTACTGCAAGCGTGAGAGAGATAGGAAGGTGGGGGTGGGGGAAGGAGCCCGGTTACCCTCCCCTCAGGGGTTCCCCACCTCAAGGACAGGGAAGCCCCGCTGGCTTCAAGGCCATTGCCCGGGCCGGTCTCTAGCTGCCTGCGCCTCACCCCCAGCTGCCGGAGGTGGGACCCAAGCTGGCGCCTCCGGGGAAGGATGCTGCAGCAGGGGATCCCAGAGCCAGGCCCTAGCCTGCCCCACAGGAATCTCATTGAGTGACCCCCTAAGGATAGCAACATCAAAGGGAATGTCTAAGTGATGTTTAAATTAAATGTCTATCTATCTATCTATCTATCTATCTATCTATCTATCTATTGCATGTATTTCAGCCTGTTGTCTTTTTAATTTTGTAAGATAGCACGGGAACTGGTCAACTTTCAGCCTCAGTAAGGTTTGTCTTTTTCAGTAAAATGATGGATCACTCTAAAATATTTTGCAGCCTCGCTCTATAATTTGGATGGGTGAACATTTGCTTCCACTCTCATGATTTTTAGTTTATTGGTAAATAGCATGCTTTGTGTGGGCCCACTGCTCTAGGATTGATAGCTTGGGATTGTAAAGCTAAGAGCAACAAAATATGTAGCTTTTAATAACTGGTATTCAGGAGGAAAATAAAAATCAGGAGATTGAGACTGAGGAACTCTTGGTCCTGGCTCTTCATTACTACATGAACAGAGGGAGATGATGGGACTCCATGTGAAATGGCTTTCCATTAATGTCACTGTGATGGGGGGTGTATACCCCTCACTGAAGCAGGTGGGGTTAAGATCCTGTGGGTGGAGGAAATCCCTCCCCTTTACCCAGACTGGGCATGCTCCAACTGCTGGGGCAGTATAAAAGGCAGGAGAGCAGCTCAGTCTGTGCTGGCCTCCGAAGGACCAGGACCGGGACCACGACTGCCAGGGCTGCACCAGCCAGCGACATAGACAGCGGGCACCCAGGAGACCGCTGTGAGTTCCTAGCACCAGAGGAGCCCAGGGAGAAGCCAGAAGACCCAGGGACCATGTGGGACGTCGCCCTCCTAGCACTGGTAGGGAGTGACCCAGGGAAGGCATCTCCCACCCAGGTGAGCTCGGCGTGTTTCGGTCGGAGTCCCCGCTGAGCGAGTGGTAGAACGCTCTGCCGCTCACAGGGCCCTTGGTTGGGACCAGATGGAGTAGGGTGGGCCTGGGTCCCCCTACCGGGGGAGCCACCCCTACCCCATTGACTCTAACTGATAGGCTGTACTGCCCTGAGATAAGGGCTAACATTATTGATATTAGCCATTAAGCTAAACTCTCCTAGACCAAGGGTTCTTGTTTACAGACTAGAAGAGTCTGCTGCCGACCCTGCAGCTAGACAGCGTCTGCACACTGGGGAACCCTCCGCCCAGGGATGTGCCACAGCACAGCAGCCTTGGGGAGGGTGTGGGGCAGGGTGCGGTGTCTCGCTCGTAGGCCATGGCAGAGCATTCCTGGGGGCAGCCTGTCCTGGAGCTGCTTAGCAGCCATGTGAGGAGACAGGCGGATACAGGGGCCTGCGTTCACCGATGGACACCCACAAAGGCAGGTTGCTGCACTGTTTCCATCCTGTAGGGGGCAGTGTTGGCTCACGTGTGCACATACATGCTGGTGCCTATGCCTGCAAATCCACCCCCACCACCCCAGGCCAGCGCCTGGCAGTGTAACGACCCTGCTTAGAGCTCAGTTAATTAGCACAGTCACGGGGATCACCTCTCTGCTATTTTGCTGTCAGGGCAACTCTTCCATTTCTCACATCCCTTCTGAGCAACCCCCCAAGGGGGTCTGGTCACACAGCCCATGGGCTTCAGGCACCAGAGTCCCATCTGGGACTGCTGACTCCGGGCCCCTGGGCGGTGACACTGGGGAGCACAAGCTGAGCCAAAGAGAACCAGGGCTCTGTCCGTCTCCAGGGATCCCTCCTGGGAGTTGTTACAGTCACTCCCGTCTTCGCTCTGCTGCAGGGCACACCAGGCCTGAGGCTGCTTGCGAGGGGCTCGCCCGGGTAGGCTCATAGCCGGAGCCAGGCCTTTGCTAATGACACTGTCCCCTGCTATGGCCCGAGCGGCCTTAGCGTGTCCCGGTCCCCATCCTTCTCTTCTGCCTCCAGTGAGGAAGGTTCCCTCACCTCTGGGAACTCTCCCCCAGTGGCCTGAAAGGGGAAGGAGTGAGGGTTTTCCACCAGCAGCCACCTGGGGTACGTCTAGACCAGGGATTCCCAACCTGGGGTACGCATACCCCCAGGGGGTACGAGAAGCTTGTCAAGGGGGTACGGGGAATATTTGGTAAATAACTAGATTATCCTAATTGAAATATTCCAAAAGTAGTCGTGTTAGTGAAAAACGTTGTGGATTCTAGAGTCTAGAATTTATTTCCTTTCATACTGAATAGGGGGTACGGGAAGGTTTACTAAAAGCCAAGGAGGTACGGGGACTGAAAAAGGTTGCGAACCCCTGGTCTAGACTATACCTCTCTGTCGACAGAGAGCTGTAGATTAGGCACGTCGAAATTGCTAATGAAGTGAGGATTTAAATATCCCGAGCTTCATTAGCATAAACATGGCCGCCGCTTTTTTTTGAAACGGAGCTTTTTCGAAACCCCCCCC